GGGGGGGAGGGGTGTGGGTGGTAGTGAGGCTCTGGGAATAAATATGGTGAATGTTGCTCCAATCTACATAGTCTGGTAATTGTAACCAGCATGGGACCAATGGGACCAGAGGAGGAAAGGTGTTATTGTATTTGCATGATTGGAGCTAGCCGGTGTTCAGTTTGGGACCACAGTGCCAGCCACAGGTGTCCTCTCTGTACATCATGATCCTGACATACAGAGAAGAGAGAAGAGGAAGATTATCGAGGGCGGTGATGGAGGAAGAAAAGCTGTGTAAGACCATACTTGTGATCTCAGAGAAGACTGCCTTTATCTTCTCCGAGTCTTCCAGTGTGAATATGTGCTTCTCATTATCCTTCTTAGATGCTATGTCATTCAATTCTGACCTGTCGACTTCCTCACCAATACCAAATGCATAGATATCTATGGAAGGAACAGACAGAACAAGATGATTTTGTGACATTCAACGTGCAGAGATACAAAAGGAGATAGACACATACTCATATACTGATATACTGTAAGTGTGATAGATAGATAGATAGATAGATAGATAGATAGATAGATAGATAGATAGATAGATAGATAGATAGATAGATAGATAGATTCGGCTTCACCTAGGTAATCTTCTCTGGTTGGCTTGATGTCTAAGAACTCTCTAATTCTATTTATCATATCCACAGGCCGGCCACCCATGTTAGATTTTCCTGGATAGAAGGATACATTGACAGTGTATTAGTTGGTTACCATCATTTACCTCAATCATCATTTCACCATATTGCTTACTCAGGTAAACTGTTATTTAATATTTATTTAAAAATGTATATTTATTAGGAGAGTTCCCATTATATGATACAATGAAGGAGCGTATTATGCATGGCTGCTGGAGGAGCACTGGGGTAGTATAGCTGATGAGGACTTGTTACCATACACCTACAATGATAGGATATTTGGTGTTTCTTTGCTGGGCTTTCTACGTGGCCATGTCGTGTCCCCCCCAGTAAAGCAGGCACGTATCATGTTAAATTAGTAGAAGGAGAATGAAGCTGGCAACACACTGCTCCATCATTGCTGGCTAGGCCAAAATTTGAGCAGTGTGTGGCCCCGTTGACACCCCTCTATGCAACATGGGGCTGGCCTAAACAGGGTCATTTGAACATGATTGGCTGCATTGACTGTTTTAGTATTCTGACAGCAGTCTCTGCCCCCTGCCGCTATCAAAATACAATAACCCAGCTGGGGGAAGTGCCCCATCCATATTGTTTAGTGTTGGTGAGAGGATTGAACACACTAAAGCTGTCCAATACCAATAGTGTTCTGCAGCTGCATATAAAATGCTGCAGGGAAATAATAGAACTAACAATGGAGGAGGGCCGGCCAATCTGTCCATCAGTTGGATGTCACTGGCCATATGTAATGCATCGATACAATGTTTACGTAAAGCCTGCTTGTCCAATTGCATTTCCTCTTCACTTCCTGTCCTACAGACACAACAGGAAATGAGGAAATATCGGTGAATTGAGGAGAATTCTATTATATAGTTGTAATTCTCTCAGAAGTAAGGGAGATCACCGAAACAGATGTCCACCTTGGGAGATTTCCCCTCTATTCCTGTTCTGGTGGCAACTCAAAATGTTGGATTTTCCTTCACTTTGAGTCCCAGGGCATATAGAGAGGGTGTATCTCCACGGTGAGCACACATATAGCAATAAAAACAGGAGCCCTAACCTTTCAATATTCTATCCAAAACGTAAACATTTTTGGTAACAACCCAAAAACAATTTAGTTTTTATATATTATATATGTTATATATCGCAGCCTACCAGCCTGAGAACTGGATAGGTGTGCTAGTTGTTGGCCCACCATACTGTAGTTACAAATTCTCCCATTGTTGGTGTTTGGAAATCTGCACAACTTTCACCCCTCCCATCCTGTTCTTAGACAATAAACATCTACATATTCCATGGGGATTGGATACGGGTGTCTGTGTTACACATGTGAATACAAGTGTTGGGAATCTTGCTGACACTCATTAGGACCAAGACATGGCTTGGAGAAGTTACGAAATGTCTTCTGCAGAACAAGTCCAGTTGAATGTGACTAACTACTACTAGGAATACCATGACGTGGATACATGAGAACCATCACAGACATTTAATATATTGTTGTCCTCACCGTCGGTCAATAGAATGATGACATGCTGGATTGAATTCCACTCATCTTCCTTGTACTGACCCTTCTGAAAGGCCATCATGTTATATACAGATGTCAAAGCCCCCTTAATGTTGGTTCCTTGCTTATTGCGGTGCTCTACAAAGAGGATACAGAGCAAAAATGGATATAATACGGCAAATATTTGCACATTCCAAAAAGAAAAGGTATGCATTCTCATTAAATCTCTTTAATAATCCCCCCCCCCCCATCCCCCCAGTTCCTCTACACTTTCTTACCGTGTTTCCCCGAAAATAAGACACTGTCTTATATTTTTTTTGGCTCAAAAAAACACACTAGGTCTTATTTTCGGGGTAGGTCTTATTTTCAGGGAAACAGGGTATCAGATTACCTCTTTCCCACTTTTTTTTATTTTGTTTATTTCATTATGCATACCTTTTTCCCTAATGTCTTAAGTCAGGTCATGTGATACGCGAACGGGTCCTGAAGGCTGCAGAGTGTCATTACTTTATGCCTTTCGGCAGTATTCTCCTGTGAGTCCATGGTGACTTGACATGTTATACGTAGTTACTCACTATGTTTGCCTGATGAAGGGACCACAATGGTTCCGAAAAGTCTCTGTTCACTAGGCGTGTCAACATGTTGGACCTTGGTGTGCGGGTGACTACTTGTATGTTTGGATTTACATGGTGCCATCCGCAGCTCATACCAGCACCCATCTTATTATCCGGTTTGGAGTTCGGTGGGATATATGCTATCATGGTGGCTTGATGACCCTGATGCCCTGAGTTCACAAGACATGAGTTCAATGACTCTGGGTGTCATTCAGCCCGAAAGAGGAGCAACACTGGACCATGGAGGGGTACTTGGAGAGCAGCACTGGAGCATGGCATTGGGGAAAATTAAAAAAATTAAAATCCAGGCAAAAAGATCTGCAGCTCTGTTCTCCAAATCTTGTGATCCAGGCACTGCACAGCCAGATGCTGGATGGGACCTCCCTTGAGGACACTGCAGTTAAAAAAAATACAGCCTCATCTAAGACCCACCTAAGCCTGCAATTAGACAATGAAGAAATGGCAGCACACTAATGAGGTCATCCACACTTTCTCTTCCTGTTACCATGTTCACGGTGTTAGACAGACAGCACTGTCAGATTTCCTAAAGGCTCACATCAACAGGCATTGTTATCAGGGCCGGATTTACTCTCCCTGCCGCCCGAAGGCCAGGTTCTGCGATGCCCCCCCCCCTTCCCATCAATGGAGAATGGCAACCAGATGGCAGGGCGGCGGGGTTAGTGTCAATTCTTTTTACTGTTTCTTTACTGTTCCTTTATTTTTTTAAAACTTTTTTATCACTTTTTATTTAATTATTTCTTCTTATTTTTTTTATTTTTATTTATTTCATTTTTTTTATCAATTTAATTTTTTTTTAGATTTTTATTTATCTTATTCACTTTTTTATAATTTTTTATCTTATTATTGTTTATTTCTTATAATTATTTTTTAATAATTTGTTTCTTTTTTTTACTTTTTAATTACCTTTTTATTTTTTAATTTAATTTCATATTATTTTCTTTTAATTTTTATTTATTTAATTCTTTTTTTTTCCACCTAACTTTATTGCTATCACACAGGAGAAAACAATCCACTGTGTGATAGCAATTGGAGGTGACAGGTTCTCTTTATTGACCCTGCCACCTCCAATACAGGAGTTCTAGCACAGCACTGTGCTGGAACTCCTGTGACAGGTGAGAGAGGAAGAGCCCAGCACAGCACAGCACAGCTCTCCCCTCTCACTGTCTACAGTCTACACGGAGCGACAGGGTTACTTTTAACCCTGCCGCTCTGCTCCCTGCAGTCAGAGACTCGGGACTCGGCGGCGGAGGACGGAACCAAAGGAGAGAGGTAAGTGTAGGGGGGAGGGGGAGAAGGCTGCACACTGTTTACATGTGATCTCGGCGACATCGCCGATTTCACATGTAAACGAAAAATCGGCTGCCTCACTCTACATTTAGTCCTGCTTGTTCAAAGCAGGACTAAATGTAGAGAGGACAACTTCCCCACAGGGACACTGCTGCCGCCCCTCTGCGCCCTGCCGCCCTGAGGCCGGGCCTCGGTGGCCTTGTGGGGAATCCAGGCCTGATTGTTATCCTGTGTTAACAAAGCAATCCAATTGACTTTAATGAAGCAGTACACATGACAGTTCAGAGGCAGCGTTGGACCTGCTTTGCATCTCATTGCATTTCTTTGGATGCTCTATTGAGTTGCTTTGAACTGCAGAAAAAAAGCAGGTTAAATGCTGCCTGTTCTTGTCAAATGCTGCACTTTACATACAAACATAGGAAAATGAAGCGTTTGGCAAGAACACCATGTGCCCTTACAATGCTGTACCTTTCAGTTTAGTGTCTGTAGCCTGTTAACTTTGACAGACCGACCCTTATCTTGCACTCCCATTGTTAAGTATGATATCAGCTTTCAACTGGTACAAAAAACGGATTTCAGCCACGTAAGAGCGAAAACAATAAGGGCAATTTATCAAAACTGGAGCAGACAGAATCTGGAGCAGTTGCCCATGGCAGCCAATCAGATTCTCTCATTAGTTTGTTCAGTTAAGATTTGAAAATGAGAGAGAAGCCTGTTTGCCGTGCAAATATGATACCACACTTCTTGAATGATCATTAGGTCGCGACCCAAGTCGCACTACAATGTAATGCACGGCAGTGTGGGCTGCTGTGCTGTGACGGAGCTCCATCCATATGTGCATTGCTTGTACAGCTCCCATGCGCATCCTGTAAAGGTGGCGGGAGCCAAAATGTGATGTCACTCTGGTCCTGGCACCTCTACAGGACATGTAAGGGAGCTATAAGCAATGCACGTATGGCTGGAGCTCCCTAGCGGGCATACCCCCAGCCCACCTCACCTCAAGTCAACACTCTGTGCCAGGCAGCATATTTTGAATAGCTGCTGAGTGTAAGAATGGACAGTGATGCGCTAGGGGGAGGCTGGGGAGCTTCTCACCTAGAACAGTGGAAGGCATGCGGCGACCCACTGAACACAGGGTTGCGACCCACTTTTGGGTCACGACCCACCAGTTGAGAACCAAGGGTTTAAAGGAAGATATTACTATCCATAAAAGGGCAGACTACAATACATATTACAAAACATGGATGAGATGGCCACATTTTGAAAACTCTAACTCTGGAAAGTTTCTACTGGACAATCCCAGACCTCATTTTACATTAGAACAAGAAATATTTTATATGGACCGCTGTAAACGTGAGAAGACCTACTGAATACAGGTCATAACTCTACAGTAGAGATGAGCTCAGGTTGAGTTACTCTGAACCTGGAAGGAGCTCCTCCTGAACATGGAAGAAAGCTCCTTCTGTGTCACCCAGTCAAGGTGTAAGCACCGAATCCCCCCCCTTCAACTTGACATAAGCAAAGGGCGGGATGCAGTGATGTCTATTATATGGCCACATGCCTATTTTTGATCAACGCCATTTACCTAATGTGGCTATGTGGTCATGTAAAGTGAAAAAAATCAGCACAAGCATCCAGTCTATTTGCTTACATTCAGCGACGGGATGGGGATTGTTAAGCCTGCAGCTGATTTGAAGGGTGGCCCATGGCACTTCCTTGTTCGGAGGAGCTCAGATTTGGACCGGGTTCTGTCTGAACCTGAGCTCATCCCTTCTCAACAGGTGAGTTCCTATATTGTACAAAATGTGGAAGGTGAATATGGCAACACTCACCGTTGTATATGAGCTTATTCTCAATTTCCTCCAAAACATAGTCTACATCACTGGAGTCCTTGTCATGAACATTGATTATGACTTTAGTTTCCGTGGCGTAAGACATTATTCCAAACTGAACTATCATGTCAAATGACCCAAGCTGGAGGTTTAAAAAAAGGCATCAAGAACAGTCATGTGGTTAGAGGAGAAGGTCCATGCAGGTTTACCAAAAAATACACAACCCACATTAAAAAATCATCAACATTAAAGAAGACCAGTTGATTGGGACCAGTGGCGTCGCTACAGGGGGGCCAGGGGGGGCAATTGCCC